CGGCTGTTTCGGTGAAGAAAGTAGAAGAAAGTGTGAATCAAAGGAGGTCCTTTGTTAAAGAAGATGAAGAAAAAGTAGAGCACGAGAAAAAACGAGTAGAAGGCCGAACCTTGTACTCTGTCGGGGAGACGTGCTGGAAGCCCGACGCGACGCCGCCCTCGAGGATGCGCACGCCGTTGGGGAAGTAGGACAGGAAGAGGGGCGACTCGTGGCCCTGAACCTCCCTGTGCTGGACGGGCACGTCCTTCAGGTACGTGTCCAGCTCGATCGTCTTGTACACCGCAGTACCAGCCTCGTCCTGTGTAGTAGAACGAAGTATAGCAATGGTGTTAGGACCAGAGCTACACGCACGTAGAGCAAGTAGTAGCAGTATGGGTGAGGGGGGGGGTACGAGGGTGGTGCTGTCGCCCAGCCAGAAGTGGACGTCATAGAGAAAGCTGCCGGGCCTGCCGTGCGTCTGTATGTACCCCCCCATACGTTAAAGAACGTCCTACACAAGTTGGTGCTGGACCAGAAGCAGAAGAAGTAATGGGTTCTCTGGGAGGCCTGTGTACGTTGAGCACGATGTAGGAGTCGCCCTCGAAGAAGAGGCCGTAGGTCTTGGGAGGCACTGGCACCACCTTGAAGTTCTCGACTCTCCAGATGAGCAGGCCAGGCGCCTTGCCAGTCTTGTGCCACTGAGGTAGAGATCGAGCGGACACAAAAGATGTAAAGCGTGAGTAGGAGCAGAACAAGGCGACTGACTGGCCCACAGTGTATAGCGCTGACGAGACAGCGGTGTACCTCAGTCTCGGTGGCCGCTGCGGTCTCCTTGCACTTTCGCTCGAGCTCAGTGCCCAGCTGTTCGATGTTGGAACCCACCACGGCGTATACCTTGGCCTTTTGCATTTTGTTGAGTGTGGTATCAGTTGGGAAGGGTTTCTTCGTGCTGTTGTCGGGTGGTGGCTTGGTAAAGAAGAAGAAAGGGCAAGAAGCACCAACAAATGGTTGGTCGTGGCCCGCAAGTTGCGCAACCAACCAGCAACGGGGCGAGATAGCCGAGAGGTGCAGATTGTAGAGCTACAGGAGAAGTCCACGGCCAACAAAACGAAACGACATACAAGAGGAAAAAGAACGAAATCAAAAGAAATAGAATAAGAAATACTGAGGGAAAGAAAAGGAAAAAAGAAAAGAAAAGAAAAGAAACCAGAGATGGAAGAGGTGGCTGCGGATGGGAGCGTACGGAAGACCGTCGTGAAGGCTGGAACTGGCCCACGTGGCACGCCTCCTCGCGGCTCCACGGTTTACGGTTCGTCTTCTCATTCCTTGCCACCAGCAGCTAATCTACATTTTAATCTTATATTTTTAAATCCTCTGCGCCCCCTCCAGTCGACTTCGTGGGACGGTTGGCTGGGGACTTGGCCGATGGCGATGATGGCTCTACGGTGTTCGACTCCACCGCGGAGCGTGGGCACTTCTTCACGTTCACCATCGGACAAGGTACCTCTACTCCCGCTTCCACCAACCCCCCAAATCACGCAGCTGCCTGACCGTGCGGTGGTGTTTGCGGGAGCGCAGAACAGACGATTCCAGGGCTGGAGCTGGCCGTCGCGCAGATGACCGAAGGCGAGACGGCCCTCGTCACCGTCGCCCCGAGCCAAGTCGGTACCCACTCGTCGCTCTGCGCCGCCGTGCAGCCTGGTCTGACGACCGCGGTGCCTGGATGGGCGGGCGCGTGGTGGTGGGGAGCAGGCGTACGGGTCGATGGGGAATCAGCAGGGGTTCCACGGGTGCGGGCGGCCCATCCCGCCCAACGCCACCCTCCAGTTTGAACTGCAGCTGCTCGATTGGGATGAGCACCCCGTACGGCTCCCATGACCAAGCACGCACACGCACACGCACACGATAAATTGGGCTTCTCTCACTCCGACCACCGCCCAGGAAAAGTTGAGACACTTGAGCCACGCGGAGACGATCGACCTGGCTGAGCGGCTCAAGGCCGAGGGCAACACATTGTTCGTCAAGCAGGTACGTACCTTTCCCACCCGCGCATACCCGGGCGTGCCGACATCGCGCGTGCCCAACGTTGACGACCGCGACCGCCTCTCAGAATGAGCTCACGCGGGCGGTGTGCAAGTACAAGCGGGCCATCGCTTGCCTCGACGCCGACGATGCTGCCTCTGAGCCGAGCGACGCCGAACGCAACAAGCAGCAGGCGCTTGAGTCAGCCTGCTTCCTCAACCTTGCGGGTGCGTGCCTTCTCGAGCCTACACGCGTGTCTTGCTGTGTCGTGTGTGCGCTGTGTGTCGTGCCGCGTGTGCCGTGTCGTGTGTGCGCTTACATTTGTTGGTTGGGGGTTGGTCGCAGCGTGCCAGCTGAAGCAATCGCAGTACAAGGAGGCAGCTGAGTCCTGTCGCCGGGTCTTGGCCAACGAGCCCGACAGCGCCAAGGCGCACTTTCGACTGGGCAAGGCGCTGGCGGGTACAGACGACCTGGACGAGGCCAAGAAGGAGCTCGAGCAGGTAATGCGCGACACACGACACGACACGCAAAGGCGCACGACGCACGACATGCACTGAAAAGCGTTGCGGGGGTGCAGGCGCTCGCGCTCGAGGACCTGGGTGAGATCAGGCGAGAGCTCAAGCTGGTCGAGCAGAGGCTCCGGGCGCACGAGAAGAAGCAGCAGCAGTTCTACGGCAAGCTGTTCGCCAAGCTGGGCGACGACAAGTCCGGCGCCGGCGGCCTCTACACGCCCGAGGAGATCGCCGCGGCCAACAAGCCGGTATTCAAGAAATGCAACCTATGGTACGCACCGAGAGCCAACACTCGGCATGTCG